GCCTGTGAGAGGCTTAGGCAGAGGATTTGGAAAATTTAAGGTCAGCCATGCCATGATGACACATGCCTTCAATCCTAGCACTTTGGAGGCAAAGGCGGGTAGATCTCCAAGTTTGAGGGCATTCTGGGCTATGGAGTGAATTTCAGGACCGCCAGGGCTACACAGAGAATCCGAGGTTCAGAAAAAAAATGATTGTTTGAGGCCAAACAGGACTAATAGCAAAGATCTGTGGAGTGAGGAAATACATGTATTAAAGTTAGTTCAGGACCACAGATCTGAGCATAGTGGTTTACCCCTTTAATTCCAACACTTGGAAGGCAGAGGCTGGAGAATCTCTGAGTTCATATCCAGTCTGTAAACGGAGCAAGTTCCAGGACAATCAAGGTTTTCCCTGTCTCAAAAAAAAAAATTCAAGATCACAAAAAGGGGGTGGGGAGAGGTCAGACGTGGTGGCTCACACTTGTTATCCCGAGAGAGGCGAGATAAAGCAGAGGCAAGATCAGCCTGGTCTGCCTATGCAGTTCCACATCAGTCAAAGCTATTACTGTACAGTGAGATCCCATCTCGAGGAAATTAAATAAAATGTAAGCCTCAGACAACTGAAAACTTGGCTCAGGCAGGTCCAATGTCTGAGGGACTCTGTGAACTTTGTAAATTTGCAAGCTTATATGAAATGATTCTCTATGAGACCAGGAGACAGGTCCCTTCCAGTTAAGCTGACCCCTGAAGGAAGCCACGCTCGCTCTTGTTTGATGTTTGGTGGTTTGAGTAAGGAAGGCCCCCACATTCTCGTCTGCATGAATGCTAAGTCTTCAGGGAGTGGCACTGCTTGAGAAGGATTGGATGTGGCCTTGATGGAGTAGGTGTGGTCTTGTTGAAGGAAGTGTGTCACTGGGGGCGGGCCCTGACGTTTCAAAAGCTCCAGCCAGGCCCAGTGGCTCTCTCTACTCACTGCCTGTGGGTGCAGTTATGGAATTCAGCTACCTTGTCTGCCTGTGTGCAAGCAAACCCCAATTAAATGCTCTCTTTTTAAGAGTTGTCGAGGTCGTGGTGTCTCTTCACACAGCTGAACACAGACCAAAACATACACCAAACTGTGAATAAGTGATTTCCCTGGGAAGAATGGGAAAGCTTGACTTCACTGTCTTCCCATGGTGTGCTTACTGAACCCAATAGGACGCACTGAACAAACACTCTGATGGGCCTCAGGAGTGGCAGGCAGAAGGCTCAGAACTTCAGGGTTATCCTTGATTACTGTCCACTCTGGAGTCAGTCTGGGCTCCGTAAAATTCTGTCTCAGAATGAACAGAGAAAACGATTTTTGGTTGTAAGCATTTCCTGTGTACAGTTCGTAGTGTTCATGTAGTTCAGTTCAGTAGAGATCACGCTGTTGGCAGCAGGTCTCCAGAACACGCCAGCACTCTAGCATTTGAGAACAACTCCAAGGCTGGACTGTAGGGCACTCAGCTCACACGCATAAAGTACCAGTTTGAGTCCCAGCACTGTATAGACCGGGTGTTGGGGTGCACACCTACAACCCCAGGACTTAGAGATGAAGGTGGAGGATCAACAGTTCCTGGCTGTCTTCTCTGGCTATGCTGTGAGTTCAAGACCAGCCTGGGCTACATGAGGCCCCATTTGAAAACAACAACAATTATAGCTGTGTGTGATACAAAGCTCTAATTGTAGCACCTGAGAGGCAGAAGCAGGGGGACCTCCCAAAAATTGAAGCTCTACCTACCTGGGGACACACTGTCATCAATAATTAATAGAAATTCTCAGAAGCAGTCATCTAATATTTGCACCACACAGCTGGGACAAGGATAAGTGACACCAAACACATGGGAAATAGAAAATGTCCAATGACAAGTAGTGTCTTTTGAATACTTACTTTAAAAATTCAACTTAAAAGTTCAGGCGGTGGTGGCACACGCCTTTCATTCCAGCGCTCAGGAGGCAGAGGCAGGTGGATCTCTGTGAGTTCGAGGCCAGCCTGGTCTACAGAGCTGGACAGTCAGGGCTGTTACACAGAGAAACCCTGTCTCTAAAACAAAATCAATAGTAAATGCACATAATTTCTAATAATGTCTATGGGGCTGGATAGATGGCTCAGCCGTAAAGGCTAGGCTCACAACCAAAATAATGTCTATGTTTAGAAACTACGTTGACTCTTTTTTCTGAAATTTTAAACATTCACTGTCTTGAATTATTTAGCTCCAACAAACCACTGACATCTCTTTGATGTCATCCCAAAGAGAATTAACTAGACAGAATAGTAATTAAAGGATGTAGTCACTCTGAATCCTAAAGACTTCAACATATCCTGTCCTGTAACCAGGACCTAAAAACACCTAGCCCTAATTCTTCCCCATTTCCTCCACAAATCACATACCTGTCTTAAGTGTATTGAATCCTAGAATGCTAAATTCTTACTGATGGATAAAACTACTGAGCAATATTTTGTTTCTTTTATTATTATTGAAGTTTCAAAAAGACATTTCTTGGGCTAGACTTTGTTGCCCGCCCCTTTAATCCCAGAACTTGGGAGGCAAAGTGTGGTGCGTCTCTGAGTTTCAGGACACACACACACAAGCAAACAAACAAAAAAGTCACTCCTGAAGAGGTAAGTTCGTGGGTTAAGTTCTTACTATGCAAGCATGGGGACTTGAGTTCAAATCTCTAGCGTGCACGTAAAAGCCAGGCACAGCAACACAGAATAGTAACTGCAGCACTGCGTAACATGCAGATCCCGGCACTCGCTCTCCATCCAGCAGATACAGAAGCCTTTCTCAAAAAATTAATTTGGACCCTGAGAGAGGAAAGCCTTCCACACAGACATCTGGCCTCTGGTACTCACATACATATGAGCACACATCTCTGGGGATCTTAAAGGGACATAAAATTATTCCTAGGTCTTATGTCTGAGTTGCTATTTCTTGGCATATGCAGCATCTGACTGAAGTTTCAGCTGATCTACAAAGTGAGTTTCAGGACAGCCAGGGTTTTAACACAAAGAAACCTTGTCTTGAAAAACAAAAAATAAATAAATAGATAGATACTTGCCAGATAGTGGTTGCACATGGCTTTAATCCCAGCACTCAGGAGGCAGAGGCAGGTGGATCTCTGTGAGTCTGAGGTCAGACTGGTCTACAAGGCAAGTTCCAGATCAGTCAGAGCTGTTACAGAGAGAAACCCTGTCTCAGAAATAAATAAATAAAAATAAAATTCCAGCTTGGAGAGATGGTTCAGTGGTTAAGAGCACCAGCTGCTCTTCCAGAGAACCCAGGTTTAACTCCAGTGACCACAGAGTGACTCACGACTGTCTGTGCTCCAGGGACATGACAGTAGAGGACTGAGGGAAGGTGGAAGGGAACCGAGACTTGGGATGGGGCTCAGCTGGGAGAGTGCTTGCCTAGCTTGCTTCCATCCCCGGTGCCTATAAATGATGACATCTACCAGGTCTCAGGGAGGGGGGTCAGAGGGATCGTAAATTCTAGGTCATTTTCAGCTACACATCCTTGTCTGTGGCCAACCTCAACAGGGTTTGCACCTTACAAAGTAGGGGGATGTGGATTAGAAGAACTAAGTAGGAGGAACAAAGATATGAAAAAAAAATGCCCCAGTGTAGGATAGAACCCGGAGGGCAATCCAGTGAATACTTAATATGCCCACATTTATTTTCCATATGCTTATATACCCCAATCCAAAAGGGAGAAGAAGGCAAAAGATTGCTTTAACACAACGCAAAGGACAACCAGAACAATTACTTGTTTCAATACTTGAGACATCAAGCCACTATATTCTGAGTTCAGCATTCTGTTGTTTGTACAGGACATGTAGCAGCTACACCTTAGACCAAGTATCCTAGGCAGTCACTCCATGGGTCAAACCTCCTGTCATATCCTTAAAGGAGCAGAAATAAGCTTGAATTCTCTGACCTTTAGTCAGGGTGGAATGGATCCACCATCAATACCCAAAATAAGTAACCATGCCTAGGTCAAGATATCTTGTTTGCAGCCACACCTTAAGTCAAGCCTCTTGTCAATAACTTTGAAAGAACAAGAGTAGGCTTAAGTTTTCTGACCTTCAGTCAAGGTGGAGCGGACCCACTTCTGTGGGCCCCCACACATCCTGAACTAGAAGACTCCGCCTCAAAAAAAAATTTGAACAATGTTTATTAAAAAGTTGCAACAAAACTCATTATTTTGTTTTAATTACTTAATAAAAGAAAATAAAAAGAGGAAGGAAGAAGAGGAAGGGAAAGAAGAAGAAGACTCAGGGGGTAAAGGTATCTGCCACCACATCTAACAGCCTTGAGTTTGATCCCCAGGACCCACATGCTGGCAGTTAATAACCTCTGAGCGCCAGACATGTGCCCTGACACAGACATAAAGATCCATACACAGAAGATAAATGAAAATATATTTAAAGAACCTAAATCTGTGCATAACTAGTCTGAAGATTCATCTGTTTCACGGTCCTGATGAGGACAAGTGGATCTGTTCAATGTTCAGGCAACCCGTGCTGTCACGTGGTTGCCACTCAAGCACACAATCTTTGGAGGCATCTTAAGCGACAGGGAAGAGGGCTATCCTCTACTCAGCCCTCCAGTACTGGATTAGACAATGAAGCTTCCATTGCTGGGTGGAGAGGGAAGAAGGGACACATGGGGGCTAGGGTCACTGGGTGGGTGCCAGGGCAGGGGCAGGGCAAGGAATACGGGAGACCCTTCTGGTAGGTGTTTAGTTCTGTGGACAAAGGCCAAGTCCTAGTGAAAGTGGAGGAAGGAAACCTGGCCTGGAGCAAACCCCTTCTACATACACTTCAGGCAGCAACAGCCAGGGGGCGCATGCGTGCCTTCAGAAGCAGCCAAGTAATTGGCTTCTCTGGGGACCAATGAGATGCAGCGATTCTCCAGGCTCGTCCAATAAAATCATGCGATGATTCCTCGCCAACCAATGGGGCTTCGAGTATCCTGGCCGGGTAGCCCCGCCTTCCGTGCCTTCTGGAGCCACACACCAGGAACGCAGCATACTGTACTGGTCGCCATCAAAGCTGGGCGCGCGGAGAACACGCTGAGGTCAGAAAGAACTGTATTGCCTTAAAAAGTAAAGGAAGGGTGAGGGAACCCATATTCCTCAAGCCTGAGGAAAAAATCTCGATGGAATGAGAAAGGAGGGGGCCATGGGCAGGACTCCTGAAGTCTAGTCTAGACAGACTGTGGGAGCCCTCGCCTGAGGGAGGAGACTGGTGCCCAGAATCCTGGATCTGAGGGAGGAGAGCTGGGGGCCTGAACTTCTGGGTCTGAGGGAGGAGGCTAGGGTCAGGCTACAGGGCCTGGGGGAGGAGGGCTCGGGGTCTGGAATTCTGGGTCTGAGGGAGGAACGCTGGGGTCTGGAACGCCATCAGAAGCGGGAAAGCTGACCCTCAGAATCCTGGGTCTGAGGGAGGAGGGCTGGAGCCTGGACCCTGGGTCTGAGGGAGGAGACTACAGTCTGGCTACTGAGCCTTGGGGAGAAGAGCTGGGAATCTGGAGCCCTGGGTCTGAGGGCAGAGGGCTGAGTTGGAGGGAGGAGGACCAGGACCAGCCCTCAGCACCTATTCTAAGGGAGGGGAGGCTGGAGTGGGTCCCCAGTGTCTGAGGAAGGAGAACTGGATTCTCTTTTGCTGGGTCTTTTAGGAGTGCCAGGTTCTGGGCTTTGGGTCTGGAGGAGAAGCTGAAGTCTATACTTCTGTATTGGGGAGTGGAATTCAGCTAGACTCTTAGTCTGAGGGAGTGGGATTCAGTTAGACTCTTAGTCTGAGGGAATAGACTGGCTGCCCAGAATCATGTGTCTGGTGGAGTTCTGGTGGAGCTGGGTCCTAAAGACTGAGATGCTGAGACCTTGAGAGATTTCTGCTGTGACTCTGAACCTCTGAGGCTTAAAGGTAGAGGGCTCCACGGCCCGTTCTCCTGTATGTAGATGCTGAAGAAAGAAAATTGTCAAAAACCTTGTCAACTATTGATGACTGGGTCTTAGAACTATGGAAAGTAGGCACAATAAACCTGTGACCGTGCTATTAACTCCCAAGACACTTCAGGGCACACTTCATGGGCTTGCATACCATAAATCTATCATAAAGTAGACACTTGACAGAAAACTGAGATTTAATCTCTCTGGCTGACTGAATTGTCTCCTGTTTCTCCTTCAGTTCCCAGGTCCTGATCAGCTCTTCCCAGCCTCAGAGAAGCCATGGCAGCCTGCCGCATCCAGTACTTACTGCTCCTCTTCCTGCTGGGAGCTTCCCACTGGACTTGTATGTTTGTGTGACCTTGGGGAAACAACTGTTTCCACAGAGAGTGGATTTATTGTGGGAAGAGGTCACCCCACAGAGAGGGCAATTGATCATCTTTTCTTGCAATTTTTTTTTTGCAAAATTAAAGACCATCTTTATCTCATCTTCCCAGTGGTCCAGAACCTTCGCTGCATAGTGAGTAGAGTCCGGCGTTTAGAGGATGATCCAGGCCGAACCTTTAACTGGACTTCAAAGACTGAGAAGGTTGAGAGTTGCAATTCTGGAGAACTTTGCCAGGAAACTGTGCTGTTGATTAAAGCGGGTAACTGGGGACCGAGTGGTGGGTCTCAGTCACTGATTCCTCAGTGCCGGGTGACAGCAGTCCAGTGTAGGTCCCCAGGCCGAAAGCCATCTGACCTTGCCCATCTTTTCAGCTTCCTCCTTTTCTTTCCCCTCTCATGCTCTGGGTTATGTGTCTGACTGATAGCACAACCCTATGGCAATCTAGATGGAGGCTGGGAAGCTAGCTCAGTAAGGTGCCTGTCTTGAATACACAAGGGTCTCCGTTGAATCCCCAGGGCCCACATAAAAATGTCAGGCATGGTGGCATGAATTTGCAATCCCATCACTGGGGAGGCAGACACAGGGGGATCCCTGGGCTTGAGGGAGAAGGTAGCCATGTTATTTGCTCTCTCCCTGCTAAGCCCTGGGCCCACCATCCACCTTCTCTACTCCCTTTCTCACAGAAGGAACCAAGACTGCTGTTTTGGCCAGTAAGGGTTGCGCCACTCAAGAAACAGAGTCAGTGACTCTGATCCAGTACACCCCACCCCCTGGCCTGATCGCCCTCTCCTTCAGTAACTACTGCAACAGCACCCTCTGCAACAACAGCAGCAACATATCTGTATTCTGGAAACCACCGGACACCACAGGTACCTGTGCATGTGACTCTTCTCTGTGTTTCTGCTTAGCGTGGGCCTCAGTGGGCCACATGCAGAAGAATCCCTCAGTCTTCACGGTCCTTTTCTAAGTTGAAGTCCTTTGCAGTGCAAGCCCTCCTCAGGGCAGAGGGACGTCGGTGAAGGCTGCAGTAACGACAGGAAGAGGTCTCCATTAGTTTCTGAGCGGGCAGTGGCATTCATTTTCGCAATTGTGGGTTCTTCACTGCCAGGTGTCAACAGTCCAGTCCCCCAACTTGCCCTCCAGGCGTACAGTTGCCCATCTTTTCACCTACAAGTGCCTCTTTCCCCTCTTTTGCGCCTTAGGCTGTGTCTTAGGCTCGTGGTCACACTTCTAACACTGTAGATGGGTCAGCAGGAAAAGTGTAAGCCTGAGGACCTGCCTTCAGTTTCCCAGAACACACAGAAAACTGCCAGGCATGGCATCATGAGCTTGTAATCCCGGCTCTCAGAGGTGGAGGAGATGGGGAGGGTCCTTTGGATTTACTGACCAGCCAGGCTGGCCTAATTGGTGGGCACCAGGGCAGTGAGAGACCCTGATCCTGAGGATGGCACCTGAAGTTGTCCTCTGACCTCCACACACATGCGCCCATGTATGCCCCATACACACACTTAAAAAGTGTTTTTTTTTCCTAGTGTACATGGTACAGGTCATTAAAAAAATGCCAGTGACACACATCCTCCCTGCCTATGCCTACCATCTGAACAGCAACCCTGTCCCATCTCTGTCTCAAGCCCATGTTCACAGCTCAGAACTCTGCCCCTTGAAGATGTTTGCTGAAGCATCGTAGATAGCTGGCGTCCTCTGTTTCCTTAACTATACTTTGAGTGTAGCACTGAGTTGTAATACCACTGACTACCCACAGACCTTTCTGCTCCAGCTGTCCTTTCAGCTCTGTCACGTGTGTAGGCAGGATGTGGAAGTCGTGTGGTCTCTGGGGTTTCTCTCTCTCTCTCTCTCTCTCTCTCTCTCTCTCTCTCTCTGTGTGTGTGTGTGTGTGTGTGTGTGTGTGTGTGTGTGTGTGTATGTGTGTGTGTGTGTATGTGTGTGTGTGTGCTTGCATGTGCAAATGTAGAAGTCAGAAGACAATTTGGAGAGTTGATTTCCCCTTCCACCTCTGTGTGGGTGCCGAGGATTGAACCCAGGTCTCCAGACTTGCACAGTAAGTACCTATACCTGCTGCACCATCTCAGCAGTCAGTGGCTGAGTTTCTGATGAAAAAAAACCAACTGGGGGAGGTTAGGTGGGACTCAGGAGTGGGTTGGTTAGTGTGGCCTCTACAGGACACAGGGCAGGGTAAAAAAGCAGCTGGGACAAGCAGAAGGCAGCCAGGACAAGCTCCTCCGGGTGCTGGACACAACCTTAACTTACCCTCTCTTTATCCCCATCCAGTAACTTCCAGTATGCCAGGAAACCTCCGCTGCCCAACATGTGTGGCTCTGGGGTCCTGTCCCAGTGCCCCCTCTCTGCCCTGTGCCAACAGTACAACTCAGTGCTATCAAGGAAAACTTGAGCTCTCCGGAGGTAAAGACTCCTCAAGGCTCTGGCACTCTGGGTTCCAGAGGTGAGGGAAGGCTGGGCTCCACATTCCCTAAACTTGTGTCTCTGTTGCCCCATCCCCTCTGGCTTACAGGAGGAATGAACTCCATCGTGCATGTTAAAGGCTGCACCACTGCAATTGGCTGCAGACTGATGGCTTCAATGACCTCAGTGGGACCCATGGTGGTGAAGGAGACCTGCAGTTACTACTCTTTCCTCCAGCCCAGAAAGGCAGAAGGAAGAAGTAGGGCCTCCTGGATGCTCAGCTCACTGTGGGTGCTGGAGCTGCTCTTGCCAACACTGCTGGTGGCCCTGATCCACTTACCCTGAGAGGGCGCTGCCAGGGTGGGGGGCTAGGGTTTGGCTAGGAAGGAGCCTTCTGTCTGCTGACCACCAGTTTGAAGAATGGGAGGAGGGAGGTTTGAGGAGCAGAGAAATAGGATGAGTGTGTATTTGACACAAATAATAAACTTTGTGCTTTGTTATTAGGTCGTGTGTGTGGTGAGGGTGACTGGGGAACGAAAGCCCAAGAACGACTTTCAGAAGGGAGTTTTCCCCTTCCACCATGTGAGTCCTGGGATCATGGGGATTGATGGCCGGCATTTTTAATCCCCCGGGCCTTTTCACCTACCCAGATTTGTGATTTACATATGCTTCAAGCCATTCAGTGGAGTTTTGGTGCTCAGGAGGGACCACTAATGTGCCTCTAACACACATTTTCCAGATAAGAAAACAACTTGGATAAATTTGAATTTCTCACATTCACATAACTGTAGGCAAAGCCAGGCAATGTGGCACATGGCTGCTGTAGCCCCGGTGCTCAGGGGGGATCAGGTCAACCTGCTCGACACAGCAAGACCCTGTCTCAGAAAACAGCTGCGTGGTGCTGCACACCTTTAATCTCAGCACTCCAGAGGCAGAGACAGGAGGATCTCTGGGAGTTCCCAGCCTGGTCTACATAGTGAGTTCCAGGCCAACCAGGACTACATAGTGAGACCATATACCAAATATATAGGTAGATGGATAGATAGATGAGTCAGGACATAAACACAGGTATTTGACCAAGAGTCTGATTTCTTTCTTTTACTCTAATATGTTCATTTTTCTGTAGGATTCCCAGCCCAATCTTTTTTGTTGTTGTTGTTGTTGTTGTTGTTGTTATTGTTCAAGACAGGGTTTCTCTGTGTAGCCCTGGATGTCCTAAACTTACTCTATAGACCATGCTGTCCTGGAACTCACAGAGATTCTCCTGCCTCTGCTGTAATTAAAGGAATGCTCTGCCACCTCAAGTCCCGACCCAATCTTAAGGTCAAAGTCAGCTGCTGCTTTGGGATTGACTGTCTGCTATGGCCATGGGTCATGAGGGGAGACTCTCCAGTCCTCCAGCTCTAACAAGCCTATCTCCTGATGTCCTGAGTGTCCCCTCCAACCCCTCCCCTCTGCCCCCACTCTCTATCCTTCCCTTCGCCCTAACTCGCAGTGTTCTGTGGACCACAAGAATGGATGAGTGAGGTCCTATGACATAGATGGTGTGTAGAGGAAAATAGAGGGAGACATAATATTGGCTTTTAATTTTTATTTTACTTTATTGCTCAGTTTTTGTTTTGGTTTTTGAGACCGTCTCACTATGTATCCCTGGCTGGCCTGGAACTCACTGTATAAACCAACCTGAATTCTATTTCACAGATCTCCTCTGTGAGTTAGATTTTAATAGAATATCTTTATTAATTCCTTGAGAATTTCATACATGTATATATTCTCTTGCCATCTTCTCTCCCTAACTCCGTCCAGATCCGTTCCCACCTCCCTGCCCCTTCCCAACTTCATGTCCTGGCTTCTTGTTTAGATAATGAAAGGCTTCCATTTTTGCTGCTTCTATACGCGTGTGGGGGGCCAACCCCTGGACCTACCAGGAGCCACGCCCTTAAAGAAAATTGGCCCCCTGCCTCCCCTGAAAGCCATCTACTGTCCCTCCTTGGCTAAAGGTTGGGGACTTGTGAGCCCTTCCCTGATCCTTGCTACTATGTCGACCATCTTGGCCCTGTGCAGGCAGCCACAGCTGCCGGTCTGCAGCCTGACTGCAATGGTCCTATCGTGTCCAGAAGACAGTTTCTCTCTGCTCCTCCCTGGCCTTTGGGTCTTAGAATCTTTCCACCCTTCTCCCCAACAGTGATCCCTGAGCCTTGAGGTAAGAACATGATACAGATGGTCCATTTGTGACAGAACATGCCACAGACACTTAGTTTCTGCACTTTGAGCTGTTTTGAGTGTTCTGTATTAATGTTCTGGCTAGTTTTTTTTATCAACTTGACACAAACAAGCTAAAGTTGTCTGAGAGGAAGGAACTTCGATTAAGAAAATGTCTTCACTAGCTGAGCAGTGGTGGTGTATGCCTTTAATCACAGCACTCAGGAGACAGAGGCAGGCAGAGCTCTGTGAGTTCAAGGCCAGCCTGGTCTACAAGAGCTAGTTCCAGGCAGGCACCAAAGCTACAGAGAAACCCTATCTTGAAAAAAAAAAGAAAGAAAGAAAGAAAAAGAAAAGAAAAGAAAATATCTTCACATGATTGATCTACAGACAAGCCTGTGGGGCATTTACTTAATTGACTTAATTAATTTAATTAATTGACAAGGGAGGGCCCCGGTGGGGTCCTCTCTGAGCTGTTGATCCTGGGTTCTATAAGAAAGCAAGCTGAGCAAGCCAGTGAGCAGCATCCTCCACGGCCTCTACATCAGCTCCTGCCTCCAGGTTCCTGCCCTGCTTGAGTTCCTGCCCTAACTTCCTTCAGTGATGGACTGTGATGTGGAAGTGGAAGCCAAATAAACCCTTTCCTCCCCAACCTGCTCTTGGTCAAGGGTTTCATCACAGCAGCAGAAACCCTAACGAAGGGCTAACCACAGTCCACTGCACAGAGGAACTGTGTTGGGGGAAGGGCAGCAGTCAGACTGCTCTCTCTTCCAGAGAACCTGAGTTCAGTTTCTAGCACAAATATAGAACAGCTCACAATCCACTGGAGCTTGTGACCCTAGCTCCAAGGGACCCAATGACTTGTGGCCTTTGAGGATCCTGAGCTCACACACACTTGCAACGAGAATGTAGAGAGAGCGTCTCAGCTGAGACCTAAGAGCTGCACTCCTTCATGGGTGCAGAGACACCTTCCCAATGCTGGGACCACAGCATGTGTGTGCGCCGGAGCCTGGGCTGGAGAGATGGTTCCGCCGTTAAAAGTACTGCCTCCTCTTACAGAGGACCTGAATTGGTCCCCAGCACCCATATCCAACAGGTGACCTCCATTTGTAACTCCAGCTCCAGGAGATCCCTAATGCACACAGATGCATACACATGAGTAATAAAAATATCGATTTTCAAGTTAAATTTTGAACGTTGGGAATAAAATGTACGTCTAATTTATCCTTACTCCTCCCTGCCTGCTTCTTTGTTTGTTTAAACTAGGGTGCCAGATGACCTAGGCTGGCCTGGAATTCTGTGAAGCTAAGAGTGACCTTGAACTCCTCATTCTGCCTCCAATTTCCAAGCGCTGGAATAGCAAGCAAGCATCCTAAACCCTAGTAATTGGGGCACTGGTCGTTTGTGCATGCTGAGCAAGTAAGTGTCTGGCAACTGAGCTGTACCTCAAGCCTCTACATCCGAGGCAGGCTGAGTAGGCCAGGGAAACTGAGAGGTGGCGCTGAGATCCCATCTTCCACCACAGGGTGGCGCTCCTCTCCTCCCTCAGGTCTGTACGGTTAAAACCAGCGTGGGAAACCAGCTGTGCGTAAGGTGACGCTCAGAAGTGGAGGAGTGTTGCGTTCTTGAGTGAGATGCTGCACGAAGACGCAAGCCTCACTTCTGGATGGTGTGGCTAGAATCTCAGCTCTGCCGTTTCCCAGCCATGTGATCCTTAACCTCGATCGACTTTGTCTGTGTGTTGGAAAATCTGACAGCACATTCCTTGCCTGTATGATGGTGGTTGTCATAGCATTCAGTTCATCCTAATAATTAGGATATCACCTGAATATTAGCTTTCCGTTGCTGTGAGAAAACACCTGGGATGATCAGCTTGTAAAGAAGAAAGGGTTGCGTGACTCCTGGGTTCCCAGATTCATGGTTGGTTTTCCCTGCTGCCCTGGACCTGGGCAACACCAGTGTCCCAGGGTGTGAGCACATGGGAGGTCTGATCTCATGGCATCCAGAAAGAAAAACAGAGAGGAAGAGATGAGAGAGTGCCCTAACCTCCTTAAGGGCACATCATCAGTGGGGCTTCCTTTCTCTAGGTCCCATCAACCTCCCAAAGGCACCACAGCCTGGGACCTGAGCTGTTAACACACATCCTTCAGGAGAGACTTTCAAACCAGAGAAACTTGACATGGTAAAAGCTTGAAGTCTTTTCTGAATATATATGAAGAAAGGAAATTTCATCTGGTCCACCTACTTGTGAGGCCCAAGGGAGGAAGATCACATGACATGTTCAAGAGCAGCCTCAATAGCTTCATGAGACTCTCAGAAAGAGAGAAAGAGAGGGGGTAGCTCCGAAGCAGAATACATAGAACGAATGGGTAGTGAACCCGAATTCTAGAACCCCTGCCTAGAATCAGTGAAGGGCTGGGGGCGTGGCCTTCACAGGTCATATGATCCTGGAAAAACTGCTTAATGTCCCTGTGCCCCAGTAATCAGACACGAGTTCCCTGAGCCTGCCCCTTCTCCCACGCCATGGGATTCTGTGAGGATTGAATGAGGGTCCAGCACCTAAGAAGGTTTGGGTTTTATGTTCTGGATTCTCTCTCTCTCTCTCTCTCTCTCTCTCTCTCTCTCTCTCTCTCTCTCTGTGTGTGTGTGTGTGTGTGTGTGTGTATGTGTGTGTGTGTGTGTGCTTATGCATGTTAGAAGAGATGGGTGTATGTTGGTTGTATGTAGTGTATACACACAGGTGACTGGTGCATTCATCTGTGAGAATACACAGAGGCCAAAGGAGGATGACAGATGTGTTCTATGGTTCTGCCCCTTATTCCCGAGCCAAGGTCTCTCCCTGCACCCGGAGCGAGGCTGGTGACCAGCAAGTCCCAGCCCTCCTCCTGTCTCCACCCCATCACAGCACTGGAGTTACACGTATGTGGGACTCTGGCCAGCTTTTTTCCTGGGTTCTGGGGATGTAACTCCAGTTCTAGAGAATCTGATCCCCTCTTCTGGCTTCCACAGACACAGGCATGTGTGCATGCGCACACACATACATACAGGCAAAACACAGGCACATAAATTTAAAAGCAAATAAATATTTTTAAAATAACAAGGTAAATGGTGTGTAATTAAAAACATAAAGTCAGGCATGCCAGCATCCCCTGTCAGCCCAGCACCTGGGAAGCTGAGGCAGGTGGATGGCCAATCTGTATCAAACAAACCAATAATTATGGTTTGAGGGTGAAAGCCCCCACAGATTTGTGTATTTAACACTTGGTCCCCAGCTGGTAATATTATTAGTACAGACTATAGG